CGATTACCTATAGTCCATGGCATTTTGAGATTCCCAGAGATGTCTGCTCGGAGATAGACACGTGCTCGGGGAAAGCGAGCCCTGCCCGAACGACGATAGCTAGAGAGTCGGGACTTGCATAATTTTGTAGAGTAACGTCCGAACTATCTACGCGTGCAAAAAAATTACTAACATTGTATGTTAGTTTTGTGAGAACGGAGCTGGTTTTCCAAAGATCCTCTGAAAATCCGGTCTCTGGAATTTTTTCAAAAGTTGCTTCCGCTTGTGAAAAGTTCTGCTCAAGTCGTGGCTATTGAACAGTGAAAATCACAGGTCTCTATCTCTTTCCCGTCAAAAGTTATTCAAAAAATACCCACAGATCTTGTATTTTGGGATGGATAGTATTATACGTAGACGGCGGCTGCTGCATACATTTTTGTGCTTATCGCCGTTCTACTGTGGTTGAATTTTTTCGGAGTTTTTTGAAATACCATATTTTCAGTCGTTAGCAATGCTCAGGCTTGGTGATGCTGGTTGCAGATTTACAGTGGAGATCTAGACATTTTCGGTACTGGTTCACTGCTGTTGATAAAAATTACAGTTACATTTGTGTTTAGCAGGACATAACATTTCTTCTCAAAAGATATTTGCAAGTTTTACCCAATATGAATACTGATCAACCTTTCTCTGGGTAAAAACACGAATTCTATTGTTCAGATGATATCATTATATGAGGTTCTCTTTCTTTTTTTCTTTTTCTCTTTCGATTCATGTGTCCACCATAGTCATTCTTTCATTATCATAGTGTATATAGTTAGTATTTTTTTAATTAATATACTACAGCTCGTTACGCTCGAATAATGAACAGTAGAGATTCGACAGCAATTTGATCTAACAGAAACATCGGATGAACCAACAAGTGATATTGAATGATTAAAAACTGTGACGAGCTTTCAAATATTTGTCAAAACTCATTTAGATAAATAGGCTTTAACTGTGCTAAGAAGAGATGATTCGGTACTTGAGTTGAAATAAAAAGTGAAAGATAAACAACAATACGAAGTTGACGAGCAGCGCTTTACATTTTATGCAAACCAGCTTTAAAAATAAATTTCCATTGAATGATTATGATGTACAGAAAGGAGCAGATTATGCATCATTCACACGAGTTACATCAGTTAAGTATAATGAAGTGAATGTTTAATTGGAACAAAATGTTAGCTGAAGCATCAGTGTGTGGAATAACACAAACCTTGCTCTGTTGTAAATAAGTTTCTGGAATCTCAAAGTATTCATTTTTAACAAAAAAAAAAATGATTGCGTTCTTTCTGAAATGCGCGACAAGTTAGTTTTTCTTCTAAGAACTAAACCCGTCCAAGACTAAACACGAGAAAACAAAAGAATTTCATGTGTCGCTTAAGAGATAACAAATTAATTATTCGTTGATAAAAACTTGTTTCATTCTTTTTACATACATAAAAACGCGTGTTCTTTTACATTTTATGTCACAAGCAAGTATATCGCTGTAAGTATGAGAAAGCATTATATTACTCCAAATTATGTTTTAAACTGAAAAACTTTTTTCAAATTAACAAAACTAGTTGAATTGATTTTACTATTTCAATTATACCATTATGATGTAATTCCTCTATCAACTAGATCTTTTAGAAAACGATATCTATATTTCTCCTGCACGAAATATACGAAAATCCTTCTCTTTTTTTGACCGTCAGATGGAGTCACTCATTGTTAAAGGAATTTTCATTGGGATCCGTACCCTGTATCAATTGCGGAAAGACGTGAAGGTTAACAGAAAACAGATCTGTAGGCTAGTTGATCGTCTCGAACGGGTTTCTGCGCCGTTGGAAGCATTGAGCCAAGAAAAACTGAGTCTACCCGATTTACAGAAGACGCTTAATGAGTTAAAAACATTCATTGACGAGTGTCAAACGTTTATCAAGCAGTTCAACGAGTCATCCTGGTTTACAAACGCATTTCAAAGAAATGCGCACAAAGAAGAGTTTGCTGACATGAATAATCGCTTGTCACAGTATGCTAGCGATTTAAATTTGGGTATCAGTATATCACAATTATTTGACAAGAGTCAAGATGAACAAGATCAAGATTTGGATCTCACTGATATATTGCGAAAACAAGACGAAATACTACGGCTGGTGAATCAACATTTAGAAGTACAAATTAACAATCACGAAAGTTTACTCAAAGCACATCAACGGCATGACGATATATTGGATAATTTGCAAAAACGAATGGCCTCCATAAAATTTCAGTTTGAAGAAAACTTGCGGGACAAGAGTAGAACAGGCGAAGAAGATCTACCCCCCGACTTGAAGATACCTTTCTATGACTTACGTTTAGAAGAGTCAATAGGAGCTGGGGGATTCGGTGAAGTTCATCGGGGTTTGTGGTCAAGTCGCCATCAGATAGTAGCAATTAAGAAACTGCATATTAATCATCTGACTGCACAGTCCAAACGAGATTTCATTAATGAAGTGACAATTATGGCTCGGCTTCATTATGAACATGTTGTCACCGTCCTTGGTGCCTGTATTGAACCAAATTCATATGCCATTGTTCTTGAGTATATGTCACTGGGTTCATTATTTGATGTTTTACAGAAAAAGACAACTATTCTCACGTGGTTCCATCAGCGATCAATTGCCGAGCAAATGGCAAAAGCAATTAACTATTTGCATTTGTTAGATCCGCCAATATTCCATCGTGATATAAAATCACTCAATTTTCTATTAGAAGAAAATATGAAACATGGTGGCTATCTATCGAAAGTGTGCGATTTCGGTTTGGCGTCGACAAGAAGAGAAAGTTCGAGACAGACGACGTTTGTTGGCGCAACTGGTACATCCCAATGGATGGCGCCTGAGATATTCAGCATGAAAAAGTACACGGATAAAAGCGATGTGTACAGTTTGGGAACGGTGTTCTGGGAGTTGGTGTCTGGTGAAATACCGTACCATGATGCCCAAGAGTCAGCAATACGTTTGGGTGTTATAGCTGGTGAGCGGTTAGAAATACCAACTCATGTACCGAATGATTTTCGTATAATCATTGAAAAATGTTGGTCACATAATCCGCACGATCGACCATCCTGTCACAATATACTTTGTATGCTTAACGAGACGAGTCAACAACCTAACCAGAAGGTTGTCCCAGATCACTTCCAGTTTGAAGAATATTATTCCCAGCCACGCCAAAGCAGCAAAGACAACCAAAATCTAGTTCATGACAATTCACCGCCACCAGTTCCACCTAAAATGAAGTTATTGCTCAAGGAGGGAGAAAACAAAAAGTCGAAATCGACATCGAACTTGTTTACTGATCCGATTCCTGTTGTTCAACAGCAACCAAAGGTAAGCAGTACTCAACAGCTAACTTCAAAAACTCTAGAGCAGACTTCAGAAGTGGAACCTTTTGCGGTAACGAGTCCACACTCTAAAAAAATGTGACGTTCATTCATGTTACTTCACAAAAAAGCGTCTGACGCATATACGCGTAGAAACATCTTTTGTGTGGCTTGAGTAGTCAAATAATGCATGAGGCGATTGTCAAGTGTATATTTAACATCCCTGTTTATTGTAGTGGCACAGTGGGCATTCTTAGCATAGTAGCTAACCAAAAAATTTCGATAAATACTTTCCTATTCAAAACCTGACGTGTTGTGTATGTTTCGATGCAATTTGATTGCTGATTCCGAATATTTCATTTTTACTGAGGAAAAGTGGTATTTGAGAAAAATAAATTTTGCGTGGAAACACAAAGATTTTTGGAAAAGCTACAGTGGCGTTAGATCAAGAACCTGATGCATTCTCCACCCACAGTAGGCATCCAGGTGAACATTTGGCCAAAAAGATGCAGATGACATTTTTCACTTTTTAGCGAGCGAGCATGAAGTTAAACTCAAAAAGAAAGAAATATTTACTATGCTAAAAAATTTCTTAAAAGCACTCGTTCAATACAGTTGGTGGACAACAAGTCCCGACCTGAAGGTTTTTTTGATGAACCTTAGACTCAGCGGACTTGGACTTGACTTGGACGCTTTTCTGTCAAGTCCATTTGAAGTTCAAGAAATTAAAATCTTTTACATTGAACAACGGATTGAGTATAATTTGACACCTAATTTGTTAATCATTTTTTTGTCAAACATGCATCGGTATATGGATAAAATTTATTTACCCGTCAAATAGGATTATGATGTACTGTATAGTACAGCAATGTGAAGAACTTAGACTCGAACTTGCACTTGACTTGGATATGGTCGGACTTGCCCACCTCTGAGTTCAGTATAATGAGTTTTCGAAATTTTTTTAAAGTCCAAATGAGCTCAAATTTTGTGCAAATATTCTCCTATTTATCTCACATGTAAAATGAGTGGCGATTAGCACTGTTTTTCCGTGATATCAGTATACAGTCGCCGCAAAAATTTTCGGTACATCCCTATCCTCTTTTTCTTTTGATCATAACTCGATAATGAAAAAAGCTATTGACAAGCGATTTGCATCAAAATTCTCCGCTCTCTCTAGTATATTTGTAGATAAAACAAGTTAGAAATATTCATTGTTACTCTGTGTAGACTCATTGGACCGAAAAGTGAACGTTTTCCGACCGGCAAATATTTTCCGTACAGTTGATAAAAAGCTTTTTTACGCTGTATAAGCACCGACAAAATATGAAAAATACATCAATCGATAGAGGAGAGCGCAAGCTACATTTTGGTAAAAAAATAATTTTGAAAAGCTTTTTCCTTAGGGTGAAAACGCGACTGTAAGCCAAAAATGCCATACTCTTCAGTGTGACCTCGGAATCTCGAGAATGAGTGTGTGAAAAACAATTCTGATTATACCATGCGAAACAGCGTCCAAAACTGAGTAAGATAAATATAGTGTGGAAGTTAACTGAGAGAATTTGACCCATCTTTTAATATTTTGGATCTTGAGGCTATTTTTGACATACCTTTTCTGTACGGGAGGGTAGGCATGCAATGGTAATGGGAATCTATCGGTTTATCGTTATCGATTCTATCGTATCTTACCGATTATCGCTTCTTACCGATGGTTGTTATCATAGTTATGCTTCGTACTGATAAAACCGATACTTTTCCAACGCTTGCTGAGCAAAATCAAAATAGAGAAAGTGAGTTTGTAGCAAGGATTAACTCATCATCTTTTAATTTTCTTTTTTTCCTTATATCAGAGAACTAGCAAATAAGAGATACCGCTTCTCGCATATGCACGTATATATGACTCTAGTTCAATTTATTCTTCATAACTCAGGTAGTTTTGATCCAAATGTTATAAAAGAACTACCGTAAGACTAACAAGATTTCGGTCTACCCACAGATATAAAAATAGTTCAAGACTCCAACAGCGGAACCTTCCAAAGCACACGATCAAAATCATCACATTTTTTTGCTATCTGAATAGTATTAGCATACGTCATTGACTTTGATCGACTCCTTTGGAAAGTTCCTCTGTGGAAGTCTTGAACATTTTTACGTTTGTGAATAGACCGAAATGTTGTGAATCTTACGGTAGTTATTTTATAAAATTTGGCCAATAATCGATAAGAAGCGATAATCGAATAACCGATGATCAGGATGACGATAATTGGTAAGGACCGATAATCGTTACCGTTGCATGCCTACGGGAGAGTAAACATTTTTTGGATATCTCTGCGTCATCATATAGTCAAGTAGTTACTGTATATAGGTATGAAAGAGAAATTTAGACTTTTAAGTTTAGAGGAAAAAACGAGTTTCTGAACATCAAAACTAGCTCTCCACTCATAAAAAACATCTTCCATCAAAAATTAACGTCATATTCGTGCTCAGTGTTAAAAGCTACGTTTAGTGATGTGTTACTCGTAGTTTAGCAAAACATTTAAAAATTTTGCTTGTCAAAAATGCCTTTATTCCGCTGTCAGGTGTTTAGTGTCTATCACAAAAACAGGGTCTTTAGATGTTATTTTTAGATGGAAGCAAACATTTTGCTAAACTTCGAGTGACACATCACTAAACGCACTTTTTGC